CTTCCCTAATCTGGGGAAGGAAACAGGCATTCAAGTCCAAGAGTCAGAGGGAACTCCCCTCAAAAATCAACAAAAACAGCTCAACACCAAGATATATATCATACTGAAACCTAGAAAATACAAAAAAAGAGAGAGAGCAAGAGAGAATTCTGAAAGCAGCTAGGGACAAAAGATCATTAGCCTACAAGGACAGACACATAAGATTAGCAGCAGTCCTCTCCACAGAAACATGGCAGGCCAGAAGAAAGTGGCATGATATATTCAACGTGCTAAATGGGAAAAATATGCAGCCAAGAATACTATATCCAGCAAGATTGTCATTAAGAAAAGAAGGAGAGATAAAGAGTTTCCAGGACAAGCAAAAACTAAGGGAGTTGTGGACACTAAACCAATTCTGCAAGAAACATTAAAGGGGACCCTTTGAGTGGGAAAGAGAGACCAAAAGCAACAAAGACTAGATAGGAACAGGGATAATCTACAGGAACAGTGGCTTCACAGGTAATGCAATGGCAGTAAATTCATATCTATCAGTAATTACTCTGTAAATGGACTAAATGCTCCAATCAAAAGACATAGGTATCAGAATGGGAAAAAAAAAAAAAAAACCATCAATATGCTGCTTACAAGAGACCAGTTTTAGAGCCAAAGACATCTCCAGATTGAAAGTAAGGGTGTGAAGGATCATCTATCATGGTAATGGACATCAAAATAAAGCTGGAGTAGTCATACTTGATCAGACAAGCTAGATTTTAAACCAAAGACTGTAATAAATGAGGATGGGCACTATGTCATAATAAAGGGGTCTATCCAACAAGAAGATCTAATGATTCTAAATATTTATACCCCCACCTTGGGAGAACCCAAATATTTAAATCAGTTAATAACAAACTTAAGGAAACACATTGATAATAATACAATGACAGTAGTGGACTTTGACACCCCACTTATATCATCTAAGGGGAGATCATCTAAGCAGAAAATCAACAAGGAAACAATGGCTTGGAATGACACAATAGACCAAATGGATTTAACAGCTATATGCAGAACAATCCATCCTGAAGCAGCAGAATACACATTCTTTTCAAGTGCACATAAGACATTCTCCAGAAGAGATCACATACTGGGTCACAAATCAGGCCTCACCCAGAACAAAAATACTGTGATCACACTACTATGAAACTTGAAGTCAACCACACAAAAAAATTGGAAAGACCATAAATACATGGAGGTTAAAGAACACTCTACTAAAGAATGAATGGGCTAACCAGGAAATTAAAGAAGAAATAAAACAATACATGGAAGCAAATGAATATGAAAACACAACACTCCCAAACCTTTGGGATACAGCAAAGGTGGTCCTAAGAGGGAAATATATAGCAATATAGCCTTCCTAAAGAAGCAAAAAAAAAGTCTCAAATACACAATCTAACCTTACAACTAAAAGAGCTGGGAAAAGAACAGCAAATAAAGCCCAAAACCAGAAGAAGAAGGGAAATAACTAAGATTAGAACAGAAATAAATGATACAGAAATTAAAAAAAAAAGTAGAACAGATCAATGAAACTAAGAGCTGGTTCTTTGAAAGAATTAACAAAATTGATAACACCCTAGCCAGATTATCAAAAAGAGAAAAGACTCAAATGAATAAAATCACAAATGAAAGAAGAGAGATCAGAACAAATACCATAGAAATACAAAAAAATTATAAGAGAATATTATGAGCAAATATATGCCAACAAATTGGACAATCTGGAAAAAAATGGATAAATGCCTAGAAACATATAAACTACCAAAACTGAAACAGGAAGAAATAGAAAATTTGAACAGACCCATAACTAGTGAAGAAAATGAATCAGTAATCAAAAAATCTCCCAACAAACAAGAGATCAGGGCCTCCAGATGGCTTCCCAGGGGAATTCTACGAAATATTTAAAGAAGAATTGATACCTATTTTTCTGATGCTGTTCCAAAAAATAGAAATGGAAGGAAAACTTCCAAACTCACTCTTGGAGGGCAGCATTACATTGGTCCCAAAACCAGATGAAGACCCCACTGAAAAGGATTACAGACCAATATCCCTGATGAACATGGATGCAAAAATTCTAAACACAATACTAGCCAATAGGATCCAACAGTACATTAAAAGGATTATTCACCACGACCAAATGGGATTTATCCTTGGACTTCAAAAGTGGTTGAATATCCACAAATCAATGCAATATACTACATTAATAAAGGACAAGAACTATATGATCCTCTCAATAGATGCAGATAAAGCATTTGACAAAGTACAGCATACTTTCTTGATAAAATCCCTCAAGAAAATAGGTATAGAAGGGACATAGCTCAACATAATAAAGACCATATATGAAAGACCTACAGTTAATTTCATCCTCAATGGGGAAAAAACAGAGATTTTCCCCTAAGGTGAAGAATACAACAGGGATGTCCACTCTCATCACTGTTGTTCAACATAGTACTGGAAGTCCTTGCCTCATCAATCAAACAACAACAACAAAAATAAATAAAAGGCATCCAAATGGGCAAGGAAGGAAGAAGTCAAACGTTCACTCTTTGCAGAACACATGATACTCTATGTAGAAAACCCAAAAGACTCCACCAAAAATTTGATAGAAAGGGTTCATGCATTCAGCAAAGTGTCAGGATATAAAATCAACATACCAAAATCTGTTGCATTTCTACACACCAACAATGAAGCACCAGAAAGAGAAATCAAGGAGTAGAGATCCCATTTACGATTGTATCTAAAATCATAAGACACCTTGGAATAAACGTAACCAAAGTGGTAAAAGATCTGTACTCTGAAAACCATAAAGCACTGATGAAAGAAACCAAAGATGACACAAAGAAGTGGAAAAACATTCCATGCTCATGGATTGGAAGAAAAAATATTGTTAAAATGTCTATACTACCCAAAGCAATCTACACATTCCGTGCCATCCCTATCAAAATACCACCAGCATTTTGCACAGAGCTAGAACAAACAATCCTAAACTTTGTATGGAACCACAAAAGATCCCAAATAGCCAAAGTAAGGTTGAAAAAGAAAACCAAAGCTGGAGGCATCACAGTCCCAGACTTCAAGCTGTATTACAAAGCTGTAATCATCAACACAGTATGGTCCTGGCACAAAAATGGACACATAGATCAATGGAACAGAACAGAGGACCCACAACTATATGGTCAACCAATCTTCAGCAAAGCAGGAAAGAATATCCAATGGAAAAAAGACAGTCTCTTCCACAAAGGGTGTGGGGAAAACTGGACAGCAACACACAGAAGAATGAAACTGGACCACTTTCTTTCACCCATACACAAAAATAAATTCAAAATGGATGGAAGACCTAAATGTAAGACAGGGAACCACCAAAATCCTAGAGGAGAAAACAGGCAGCAACCCTTTGACCTTGGCTGCAGCAAATTCTTACTAGACACGTCTCTGGAGGCAAGAGAAACAAAAGCAAAAATGAACTATTGGGACCTCATCAAGATAAAACGCTTCTGCACAGCAAAGGAAACAATCAATAAAACTAAAAGGCAACCAATGGAATGGGAGAAGATATTTGCAAATGACATATCTGATAAGGGGCTAGTATCCAAAACCTATGAAGAACTTATCAAACTCAATACCCCAAAAATAAGAAAATCCAGTTAAGAAATGGGCAGAAGACATGAACAGACATTTCTCCAAAGAAGACAGCCAGATAGTTAACAGACTCATGAAAAGATGCTCAACATCACTCATCATCAGGGAAATCAAAACCACAATGAGATACCACCTCACACCTGTTCTGAGTGGCTAAAATTAACAGCATAGGAAACAACAGATGTTGGTGAGGATGCAGAGAAAGAGGAACCCTTTTGCACAGTTTGTGGGAATGCAAACTGGTGCAGCCACTCTGGAAGAGAGTATGGCGGTTCCTCAAAAAGTTAAAAATAGAACTACCCTACCACACAGCAATTGTACTACTAGGTATTTATCCAAAGGATACAAAACTGCTGATTCGAAGGGGCACATGCACCCTGTGTTTTAGCAGTGTTTATGGCAGCACTATCAACAATAGCCAGTTTATGGAAAGAGCCCAAATATCCATTGACTGATGAATGGATAAAGAAGATATGGTATATATATTCAATGAAATATTACTCAGCAAATCAAAAAGAATGAAATCTTGCCATTTGCAAAAATGTGGATGGAACTAGAGTGTATTATGCTGAGCGAAATAAGACAAATATCATATGATTGCACTCATATGTGGAATTTATGAATCAAAACAGATGAACATAGGGGAAGGGAAGGAAAAATAAAATAAGATAAAAACAGAGAGGGAAGCAAACCATAAGAGACTCTTAACTATAGAGAACAGACTGAGGGTTGCTGGAGGGGAGGTCAGTGGGGGGAGGATGGGCTAAATGGGTGATGGGCATTAAAGAGGGAACTTGTTGGGATGAGCACTGGGTATTATATGTAAGTGATGAATCACTAAATTCTTCTCCTGAGACCAATATTACAGTATGTGTTAAAAATAATCATAATAATTAATGGCAAAGATGGCACATCCATATCATGAAATATAATGTAGCCATAAACATAAAGACATAGATCTATTTGGACCATAGAAAATATATTTTTGAATGAAGAAAACAGGCTGTAAGCAGTATAAAACCAAATGAAAATAATCTCACTTATGTAAAAAATATATGGATAGAAATACAATGGTGGTTATCTAGGAGAGATGAGATTTTTGTGATTTTTATTTTATTCATATTTTTATATTATTTAAAGTTTCACAATAAAAATAAAGCTAAGTTATGCTCCAAAAAATTAAATGTATTTGTACAGTGGAGGAGAAGATGGGCTTAGGTTTTAGGCACACTGATTTAAGGTGAAGCTAGACTGTCTACAGAAAGCCAGTTTTTTTATGTTGGCTATGGTTGACTGGGGTCACTCTTTAACTCATCTGCTTTTTATTTTTATAGATGGCCCTTCTGAATTTCTTCTTCCCTGAAGAAAAATCATACTCTGAAGAGGAAAGTAGGCATGTTCGCCGCAATAAAAGAAGCAAAAGCAGTGAAGGTGCGGATGGTAAGTCTGTTTGGGTGATCTTTTATCACATGTTATGATAAATGAGAAGTATCCTTTTGAGAACTGCCTTCTCAAGTGTGCTTCACTATCTCATATATCGTCCATAGACCAAAGGTCAGAGAAGTTTTTTCCCAGCCTAATCGATGAATCAGTCCATAAAGCTTGACATAAAGCTGACTATACAAGTATCCTCTCTCCTCCAACCCCAGATATTTTCATTCCTTGCACAGTATATCTGAGAGCCATGGTAGCATTTATATCTCTCATGATTACACTCCATGAGGACCTCATCTCTCCTGGGGACACCCCCTGTCTACTAAGGCCATGAAGAGGATTCAGTCCTATTCTTGGAATTGACAGAGTGTCATGGTGGCACTTACATGATGTGTTAATCCCAATGGTAATCATATCAATATTGGTATCAGCTACCATGCTCAAACATGAATTAGAGCTTTTAGAACTCATCTATAAGCTCCTTGAAGGTAGGGGATCATTTATCTTTATATAACTCTAGAATCTAGCCCAGTACCTGGCAAATTGTTGGTGTTTGTAATGTAAGTTGATGATGTTGATTTCCCCTTCAGCAAGGTTATGATGTGCCATTAAAGCCCTTCTTACTGGGGCGCCTGGGTGGCTCAGTCGTTAAGCGTCTGCCTTCGGCTCAGGTCATGATCCCAGGGTCCTGGGATTGAGCCCCACATCGGGCTCCCTGCTCAGCAGAGAGTCTGCTTCTCCCTCTCCCACTCCCCCTGCTTGTGTTCCCTCTCTCGCTGTGTCTCTCTCTGTCAAATAAATAAAATCTTAAAAAAAATAAAAAATAAATAAAGCCCTTCTTACTGAGGATGAGACAGTTTTGCGTTAACTAGCTATGCATTTTGTGAGGCATAACAAAATGTCACGCTAGCTCCTGGGCAGGGTCTTTGAATGCTGTTTCAACAACACTCTGTCAAATGAGAGAATGTACATCCTTGGCACAGGAATTTGTAGAATGCAGAGCTCTGGACTGCTGCAAAGCCATCTGGATTTAAAGACAGCATGTGTCTGGCTACATCTGCCTAAGATATATGTTGGGTGGGGGTTACAAAACAATATGAGTATTTAAAGATGAAAATCAGATTTTTAACCTGATATTTGTCAATATGAGTAAGGGCCAGTGATGGAAGCAGTTCCAGAAGGCATGAGCTACTGAAGAAATGGAGCCAGGAATTTGTCAGTAGGAGCAAGAAGAAGTAGAACTAAATGAAGTCTGAAAAGGGCTCACAACAAGGATTGTAATAAAAAAGGACAGTTAGAGAAATAAGGTAAGTGGGATGTTCTAGTCTCTAGAGGTGGTGCATTATTGAGCCCTTGAATGGACAACTGGACCAGTGGGGCCATTCTTTAGAGCAGTCACTTTACATATAATTGGTGACCAAGTTCAAGCCTAGGAAATGTGGTCCATGAGGGCACCCATTATTCACAAACTGCTTGCAGCCAGTTCCCTGAAGTCTTCAGAAGACTATAGTGAAGCTGAGAACTGAGAATCATTGTCCCTTTCTTCTCCTAATCATCTCACCCTTTGATACATATAGGTTTTCCTATCTTCAACTTGTCCCCTGAGGCTACTTCTAGAACCACCAAATCTTTCATATTTCCTGGTTGCTAAAGAGGAGAGGGGAGAGGTGCTAAGAGCAATATCACCTTCTGCTGTGGGAATGGTCTGCAGTGGGAAGTCTAATAGATTCTAAAGTTTACCACTTCATCTGGTCTCCCAAGTTTTCTCTTAAAGAATGAAGCTTCTTCCTCTCTCCCAAACCACTTTATCTGGATCTCTGCTACTGATCTTCTTTACAGTGTTTATTCCATTTTGATACAAAGTATTTTTTTTCTCTCTAGACAAGGCAGAAGCTTCCCTTATTAATTCGTAGCACTCCTTATCTCATTTCCTCCTGGGCTGATAGTCACTAGATTTCGTCAATATGTGTTGATCCCCAATTTCTAATGGAATACCAGATATTTTTCTTTTTGTTAATTTAAATTCAAGTTGGTTAACATATATTGTGGTATTGGTCTCAGGAGAATTTAGTGATTCATCACTTACATATAATACCCAGTGCTCATCCCAACAAGTTCCCTCTTTAATGCCCATCACCCATTTAGCCCATCCTCCCCCCACTGACCTCCCCTCCAGCAACCCTCAGTCTGTTCTCTATAGTTAAGAGTCTCTTATGGTTTGCTTCCCTCTCTGTTTTTATCTTATTTTATTTTTCCTTCCCTTCCCCTATGTTCATCTGTTTTGATTCATAAATTCCACATATGAGTGCAATCATATGATATTTGTCTTATTTCGCTCAGCATAATACACTCTAGTTCCATCCACATTTTTGCAAATGGCAAGATTTCATTCTTTTTGATTTGCTGAGTAATATTTCATTGAATATATATACCATATCTTCTTTATCCATTCATCAGTCAATGGATATTTGGGCTCTTTCCATAAACTGGCTATTGTTGATAGTGCTGCCATAAACACTGCTAAAACACAGGGTGCATGTGCCCCTTCGAATCAGCAGTTTTGTATCCTTTGGATAAATACCTAGTAGTACAATTGCTGTGTGGTAGGGTAGTTCTATTTTTAACTTTTTGAGGAACCGCCATACTCTCTTCCAGAGTGGCTGCACCAGTTTGCATTCCCACAAACTGTGCAAAAGGGTTCCTCTTTCTCTGCATCCTCACCAACATCTGTTGTTTCCTATGCTGTTAATTTTAGCCACTCAGAACAGGTGTGAGGTGGTATCTCATTGTGGTTTTGATTTGTATTTCCCTGATGATGAGTGATGTTGAGCATCTTTTCATGAGTCTGTTAGCTATCTGGCTGTCTTCTTTGGAGAAATGTCTGTTCATGTCTTCTGCCCATTTCTTAACTGGATTTTCTTATTTTTGGGGTATTGAGTTTGATAAGTTCTTCATAGGTTTTGGATACTAGCCCCTTATCAGATATGTCATTTGCAAATATCTTCTCCCATTCCATTGGTTGCCTTTTAGTTTTATTGATTGTTTCCTTTGCTGTGCAGAAGCGTTTTATCTTGATGAGGTCCCAATAGTTCATTTTTGCTTTTGTTTCTCTTGCCTCCAGAGACGTGTCTAGTAAGAATTTGCTGCAGCCAAGGTCAAAGGGTTGCTGCCTGTTTTCTCCTCTAGGATTTTGGTGGTTCCCTGTCTTACATTTAGGTCTTCCATCCATTTTGAATTTATTTTTGTGTATGGGTGAAAGAAAGTGGTCCAGTTTCATTCTTCTGTGTGTTGCTGTCCAGTTTTCCCCACACCCTTTGTGGAAGAGACTGTCTTTTTTCCATTGGATATTCTTTCCTGCTTTGCTGAAGATTGGTTGACCATATAGTTGTGGGTCCTCTGTTCTGTTCCATTGATCTATGTGTCCATTTTTGTGCCAGGACCATACTGTGTTGATGATTACAGCTTTGTAATACAGCTTGAAGTCTGGGACTGTGATGCCTCCAGCTTTGGTTTTCTTTTTCAACCTTACTTTGGCTATTTGGGATCTTTTGTGGTTCCATACAAAGTTTAGGATTGTTTGTTCTAGCTCTGTGCAAAATGCTGGTGGTATTTTGATAGGGATGGCACGGAATGTGTAGATTGCTTTGGGTAGTATAGACATTTTAACAATATTTTTTCTTCCAATCCATGAGCATGGAATGTTTTTCCACTTCTTTGTGTCATCTTTGGTTTCTTTCATCAGTGCTTTATGGTTTTCAGAGTACAGATCTTTTACCACTTTGGTTACGTTTATTCCAAGGTGTCTTATGATTTTAGATACAATCGTAAATGGGATCTCTACTCCTTGATTTCTTTTTCTGGTGCTTCATTGTTGGTGTGTAGAAATGCAACAGATTTTGGTATGTTGATTTTATATCCTGACACTTTGCTGAATGCATGAACCCTTTCTATCAAATTTTTGGTGGAGTCTTTTGGGTTTTCTACATAGAGTATCATGTGTTCTGCAAAGAGTGAACGTTTGACTTCTTCCTTGCCCATCTGTATGCCTTTCAGATATTTTTCTTTAAACAGTATACTTAGGAGGAACCCAAGAGCCCTTAGAGGTAGGAGTATAGAATGTCTAGAGGTCCTGGGATTCAAATAAATTTCTAGCCTTTCACCTGGGAAGCTACAGAACCATTTTTTAGATGGGGTGGGAGATTCAATGAGTTAAAGAGTGAGGAGCCAATCCAAATATTCTTTAAATTTGAACAATTTCTATAACTCTATTCAGTGTATGCTATATTTATTCAATGCATTCATCAAATATTTACTGAGAAAATTTAGCAGCTTATTATAATTCTATAATGGAAATGCCAGAAGGATAGTGGTATTATCAGTTTTGTTCACTTTTATATCCCCATGTCCTAGAAAAGGACCTGGCCAATAGGAGACCCTCAATAGATGTTTCTTTTTGCCCTCAATGAGCTTAACTTACACTGTAGAAAAAATGGACAATAAATAAAATTGTTGGTGGTAAATGTTGTGGAAAGAAATATAATAGGGAAAAAGGGAGAGAAAGTGATGTGCACTGGAAAGTTATCAGGGAAGGCCTCTCTAATAAGGGAACATTTGAGAAGAGATCGGAATGAAATGAAGGTATAGGCCCTGCATATATTTTGGGGAGGAGGAGAAAGAGAGAAGAAATAGTAAATAAAAATGCTCTGTAGCAGAAAATTTCTTGGTATGTTCTAGAAAGATCAGTGTGGCTAGGAACAGAGTGAGCAAGAAAGAGAGGAAAGGAGATGAGATCAGTGGGCACAGTCAAATATAGACCCTTATAGGACAAGGTAAGGACTCTGACATTTATACTGTGTAAGATGGGGACCATTTGGAGGATTTTGAGCAGAGATTCAACATGATCTGGCCTCTCTTTTAACAGAATCCCTCTTTCTGCTGAATTGAAAATAGCTGTAAGCAATGTTGGTGGGAATGCAAACTGGTGTAGCCACTCTGGAAAACAGTAT